TCAGAGGCATTGCGTTTACATTTTCAAGCCTCTCTTTTCACCCATAAGGACTAGAAACCTGGGGGCCTTTGCGCGCATATGTTTGGTCAGCTGGCATTTACATTTTCCAGCTGACCTCCTGTGATTTTAGATCAGGTATGCTCAGCCTATTTTTGCTTAAGAGGTTGCCCCTGCAGTGGTTTTGTTCAGCGCTATTCGTGAAAAAGTTTGGGCCAGCTCTGGCAGAAAGCAGCGGGTGCGTTGCCCAAGGAAGGAACTGCTGGGTGTGTGTGTTTATTAGCAAACTGGGCTAGCCTGGCAAAACTAGACAAAGGATGAGTCAAACACTCTCCCCATGTTGATTGAGTTGATGGAAACTGTAGTCCAACACAGCTAGAAGTGCTTCGAGAACAATGAGATTCCATCTCTCTGTCCTTGTCTCCCCCCCTGCCGGTCCCCCCCCATCTTTATCAGAAGTTGCCTACAACTTTTACCTCCTTTAACACAAAGGAAACTTTCCCTTCTGCATTTTTTTTTTAATAGCAGAGATGCTCACTCCAGTAAAATGATTGGCAGGCTCGAGAGCTGAGAGAAACCAAATTGTTTATACCCTAATGAATAGAATCTTGATTGCAGGATCCTGTTTGGAAAATTACAGTGCCTGAATGGAAGCTGTACAATTACATCTCCCAAATGCTGCATATTCATTTCAACTGCTTTGCATAGAGATTAACGAGCACGCGCGCCCTGATGCAGACTCTGAAATTAAAGCCAGCGCCGATTTTAGTCACAGGTTACAAACTAAATGGCATTGTTGGAAGGGCTAGGAATCTTTACCACCTGCGATGTTGAGTGTCTTTATCTGGGCAGTAAAAATTTGGCTCTTTTTTCCAGTGCAAGGAGAGATAATGAAATTATGTGAACATATTTATGCGAAGCTGTCTATTAGTGATCAAATTGCGTATCTGTTTGACCTGAGATGGGCTTTCAATTTCTGGGGGGGGGGGAAAGGTACACAAAACTCACTTCTCCTTCTCTGATTTTCACATTTTAAGTGTACTGGAAAATAAGCAGGTAATGTTCAAACTCCTGACCGTGCCCCACAGGCTCACCCACCCTGTCCTTTCTAGATCCCTGTTGCTCTGCTTGGGGTCTGCTCTGGATGAAGTGTGACCATCGCGTGAGGTTGATTCAAGTTTACCTAGCTGGAGTTTAGCTAGAAGTTTAGCCACTTTGGGGTTTTTGCCTTGTTTGCAGCCCCTGAGCCTCGGTTTTGGTCCTGCAAACTGGGTCGGCCACCAGTTGGCCACCCTTTGAAGTTGGGTTAACATCCAGGTTAATTCTGAGCCTGGTCACCCTACTTTCCCAGTCTGGATGCAACCGGTGATTGTGCTGAAATGGAATCCTGTGGGGTTCCTTAGTATGGACCTAGAGAGACAAAATGGAAGCGGCATATGGATGAAAGAATAAGCCACGTGAAGTAGGTCCTGTATTTTCCGTTTGCCCGAGTTGCTGCTGGGGATGGGGCAGAGGGTGGGGC